GTGTCGGACTAAAGGAATCCCAGTCAATAACCTTCGTGAGAGAAATTCGTTACACACAAATCTTTCTGTCAGATACTTGATTGACAACACCATTACAGCGATCCTGGTGATGCGGCTATGCTTTTGTTGCTTTGCCACTACTCTATAACAGATAATGCCAGTGCACGCCGAATGTATATTGGAAATCAAAGAAAAGAATCGCACGCCAGACTTCAGCTACCATGTGGGTGTAATTGACATCTGGACTAGGCAAAAGTTTGGGGTAGGAGAAGTAAGAGTAGCAGGAATGTACGGAATCTATATACTGTATACGTTAACCGGACAGGTATTACATCCCTTCGGTGAAACACAATCTTTGTTGGCGGCCACGTGGGCGTCAGCTTATACATCGAGCCACCTGACCTGTCACGCCTACGCTTCCAAACAGCCACTCAATCCCGGTTTTGTTTGAAACTGCTGTATTGACGTAGCCCCGTACTGGCGACACAGCTCTCGTTGAGAGAACGAAATTTCAATACCTTGATATCAGTTGCCGTGCCTTCAAGACAGTTTGTGATACAATTGTTTTTAAAATGGAGGTCTTTAGTTTTAACTAGTGTATACTTTGAAGTTACTGTGTTCTGTTTCATCTTCTTTTGACCGTACATAAAAGAAAGGTTCCACAACCAACCCTATACTATACTATACTATACTATACTATACTATACTATACTATACTATACTATACTATACTATACTATACTATACTATACTATACTATACTATATTGACCATACATGCAGCAAATAAACCATACGATTCACACATTAGGCATAGCCTTACAATGTCCTGGGGAAAGAACGAGTAAAATTGCTGACTTGCTTCAGTCACTCCTTGAGGCTGTTTTGCTATCAAAAGTTTCTCACCCTTTGTGTTAGGGTCAGTGGCTTCTATAAATTGATTTGAAATCCGCAGCTTGTGGCTGTTTTCATTAAAGTTTGCGGTCTCGCTTCTTGGAAAGCCACCGAATCAACGTACATACATTTCATGCCATTATTATTTACTTATCTTGCAATTTACTCATCCTGTATTGTTCTCTTCACCTCTGATGACGATATATCATGTTGTAATTGGTATATTAGTACTAAATGCCTACTACTAATAATAATAATAATCGGTATATTAGTACATAGTGCCATATGAGTACAACAATTTGGATTTAGTTTTATCCATGAAAGATACATGTGCGGTGTACCGTTTAAAACATTTGGAAAAGCAAATTTCTTATTACTTCATAAGCCATAAATCTTTCATGCATAGCAGCGTTTTCAATATATATATAGAAGCAGATACTAATCTTTTCACTTAGTGTCCTTATTCAACTGAACCACGCACCAATATACTAATCACTACTGGCGTATGCACTGGCCACCACTTTGAGTAGAAGCCATCATATGAATTGATGTAGTAATTTTATTTCACATCCGGAAAAAAACAAGCTAAATTACATTTTAACAACTCTTTATCATCACAGATATAACTACATCTCATAAACGTGGAATACGTAGAAGCAGAGCAAAGGGCATACTGCAAAACATTTCATCTGTGTATTTCTGTAAGATAATAGGAGACCATTACCTGCAGACTAGCAGATGATTTCTTGTAGCTTTAATCAAGAGGGAAGTGCACATATACGTCTTAACATTACTGAGACCCGAGAGTCAACGTTTCTCCGTCCATGACGAAGAATGACGTGTTTTCTGCCTAAGTGTTTTCGGCAGGACCATTTGTCCAGCTGCTACCGCTGGGAGAACGTGAGCTGGATCAGTCATGCCGGCTTGTGAACAGCATCGGTCATCCAGGCTTCTGCGTCTTCAATGAAGTTTTTAGGTTTATAGTTGGCAAATTTATTCCGTTTTTGGCATGTTTACGATAGCTTTGGATGCAGGCCGTGCACCTGTTCATCAGCGATAAGCTTTCTGACGTAAGAACCACAGGATGTTTTCTTAAACACCATTCTTTTCCTGTTTTTTTACACCATCCTTTTCCTGTTTTTTACACGAACTAACAGGAAACTGTCACGATGATTGCCATCAGATAATAACTGAGTCACATTTATGAAGTGCCGCCTACATTTTAGTGTCGTAAATGGCATGTTTTATGTCTGATTGTATTCCCGCCTTGTAAAAGTTATGAATAGGCTCCTACATGACATCAGGTAAACGTTATTGGCAGTCGTAACGCACAGTTTACAAGTCATTTGTGATCAAATACCTAGTACGTAAACACGTAATGGTTAATAATAAAGCCAGCTGTTAGCCTTCATCATAGTAATGGTTTCAACTGTAAAGAAAAAAATAATAATTTCATCATGCGTTCGTCGACATTTAGTACCGGTTGTAACGGCTTACCCTTTACGAGTCGACCCGGGGGAGGTCGCAAATGTGGCTAATAGCCTTACAGTAAGACATACAAATGATCGTGGGTCCATTATTCGTTTATGAACAAACTTTCCTTTAAATTTATGGGGGCTTTACACGTACGCTGTGCCATACCTCTGGAACCCAGACTTGAAGCGACTAAAGTAATAGACTAGACCAGGCGAGTGAACACCCTATCTGGAACCTGAAGTTAGAAGTGTGAAAAATATGCAATTTATACATTTTCAACTCTGAAATGTGATCCAATCTACTATGGAGGAAAATCAATATGTTACAACGGCCCGATGTCTAAAATGGGGTGACAGCCCTGGCAAATGACTGCTGACTTTGCGAAGACCTCAGTAAATCCTAGAAGCTGCTGATGTAAAGTTTTGTTTATAGTAATGAATTTGTTTCATTATTCATAAAGACTGGTTGGACTCAGTTGTGTGAAATCAACAAACTTGCGTTGACAAAATTTCACACCATAAACGTTCTAAAGAGGGGACGTTCCAGATAACGAGTAAGCGGCACTACGTTGTTGAGTACGCCCTTCACGTAGAAATTCAACTTTCTTCTAACTTTTGTATACTGTCTCCGGGGAGAAGAACTACTTGAAACTTAAGTCATAGCTCAGGTTTATATAAGCCTTGCATAAGCTGCAGTTGCCATCCCAGGGTCACACGTCCTTCGGAGTTAAGCGACCCTTGGAATTGGACTCAAAACAAGTCAATTATTTCTGATCAAAGAACTGTACAGTCTAGAAGCCTCTTACGGTAGAAGCCATGGCAAAGCTGGCAATAACAAATGAATTGTGCACTCCGAGGCTTATATTGAGTTGCACGTCTAAGCGTTTTAGGATAGGTATTTGTCTCGTCGTGCTTGGTTTGCTGACAGGATTTAACGATTTTGTGACATTCACTTGTGCCTCTCTCATCCCCGCTCAGGCGCCACGGCAAGTCTCAGTGGAGGCGGGACGGGGGACGTTTTGCACACAGAAAACGTATTACTAATCAATCTTGAATGTTGAATTCTATCAAAACATTCACCATCATGGAAATGGCCAAACGTTGTAACAGTGTTAACATGATACACTCAGCTCAAAAGACAGCAAGCCTTGCCCTTTTGAAGAAGATATAGTTTTATAGCAATAGCCAAGTACATGTATGCAGCCTTTCATCTTTGGGCCGATTCAATGGATGCCACCTTTTGCCCTGCGACATATTACACGATGCATGGTTAGCCGCCATATATCAAGGCTGGACATAGCTTGCAGTTCTAAACGTGGCATATCGTACTGAAAGGTGTAGTGCATGGACGGTTCTGGACACTTAATCACTCTACTGTGATACTTCGCTCTTTGTAGTTCTGATGTTTTCCGGCATCAAAGTTGATGAGTCATGACGTGAAATCGACGTTTCAATATCTTTACGATCCTCGTACCTCTTTAGCTTTTAGCTATTGATTGGACTAAGCTTTTAAAGGTCACTTTAAATAACTTTTGAAACGCCTCATCAATTATCATAGTGTTGTGTTGTTGCGTTTTCCATTTCTGACGTAAGGATGGACATGCAGTGGCTTTAAAGTCAAACATATTACCTGGAAATTTGACATAGACAAACAACTGCCAGTGCAAAGACCTCATGTGATTTAAGTAGATGAAACAGTTATGTGTGATACCACTACAGTCATATTTTAATCGGAACTGTTTCGTACTGAATACAAAATATATAAAGTGTATGTACTATCCTCATCTGAACTTCACACCAGCCCATTGCAATTCCCTTGTGACTGATCGTTTTAATTCGACTCAAGCGAAGCCCACCAATTCCTCCAGCGGGAGCCGGTATGAACCATGGTGTTCAACGTCTCGAAAAATTGTGCAATTTTGCTGCTGGTGCTCATAAGGGCTGACCTCAGCAGAAAATTGCATTTCATTAGTGGAAATGGGATGCGGTGATTCTCAGTGTTTCACCCGCGTGCAATCTTTCAAAATATCGCAGTCATCAAACACACAGCTGCCTTTCATCATATTTTATAGCGTTTCTTGTCTTGATATCCACACGACTTTCCTTTGGCAGTATTCCGTGATGCACTCATCAGTGCAGTCAGATACCTAATGGGTGGAAAGTGAGTGTTTAATTGTAAAAACACCCACGGGTACATATGATGCGATTGCGCTGATGCTCGATTGACCATAAAGTGCCTACGGCTGTAAAGGATGTTTTCTTTTCATTTTTGCTATCACTGTTGATAACGCTAGTTCACCTCAAGCCATTTATTCCGTGAGCACACATCGAAGGAGACGCAAAGTGGGATTTATGACAAGCAATTTCCTGTGGCGTTCTTTTCAAATGATACGTAGCGGATTTCTGGCATTTTGTGATTGCAACTCAATAGTGATTAAAAAGAAAAAGAGACCTGAACTTAATCACAGCACGAAACTGCATACAGACATAAAATAGTAATGACTTAGAAAATCTAAAATGCAATATTTCTACCAATCAAGCTTTGCTTGATCTATAGATATTGAAGAAAGGGGATTTCGTCTGAACACGTGTGCTATATTTACAGCACTCATTTATTCAAGTATCAGTTGCATGCGATTGATATCAATCTCTTCGACCTTGGTAAGTTGAACACCAAAATCCACATACCAGCAGATTCTTTGTATATATGTATTGTTACTGCCGCCCGTTATCATGCATGGTTATTTTCGCTGTATACGCCTCTGGTTACATGTATATTCTATCAGAACAGTACACCAACGATATAATGATACACGTCCTTGTGTACACAATACACTGAATACGGGTAAATACTGTACGACAAAATGTTACAGATTTCTTTGAAATCAAGTAAAACGAGATGATCTAAACGTATTTGATACTTCTTATAGTTCTATTGTTTCTGCATGTGTATCTGTACAAGTTGTTTCCTGATAGTCCTCGGAGATTTCGTCACTCTTTTGCTCGGACTTGACGGACACCTTGTCCGGAGCCAGCACACTGTGTTCGTGTATGGTGGTCACTAAGCGCTTACCACAGCTGATCGTCAGATGTCCGCAGATGTCCGATATTCCGTACCCGAAGTCCCAGTCTTCCTCCTCATTGGATGGCATTTCGGGAACGCTGTCGAGGCTGAATTTTGAAAATCTAACGGTCATTTCACCGTCTACAGTTGCTGGGACGGTAGCGTCAGGGGTGTGCACGGTGGCAAGCGGTGACGTGTTGGCAACCGACACGGACGATTCGGTCTCGGATTGGCTCCTTTTTCCTGTAGGTAGATGTGCGAACAGATGTGAATGTGAACAAATGATACACTGTAAGTGTAATATTACAATACTACCAAGTGTAGAATCTGTGCGCCCTGTCCCTGTTTCATACTTCAGTATAGGTCCCCGATACACCTGCGCTCTTCTCACTCGTTTTCGACTTGGTACTCATAGTCTAAACTCTAATCTGTACTCTCGAAACCTGGTATCTAGTTCTGCTTGTACTTGTGGCCACCCCTGTGAAAGTATTCATCATTATCTTCTGCACTGCCCAAAGTTTACTCAATATCGTGTCTCCCTCTTCAGCAATTTAACCAAACTTGTAGGATTTGCCATCAACATCCAAAACCTTCCCGATAATCTCCTAGTACAATTACTGCTTAGAGGTTCCTCTTCTCTGTCGGTTTCTAACAACGCTAAACTCTTACAATGTGTTCAATTGTTTATAAAAGAAACGGAAAGATTTGAGTAACCATCAATTTCTTATCCTACCAGTTTGTTGATTGACTTGGAATGCCTACTTACTCACTTATCATTTACCTGCATATACTGTTATATATTTGATACATATTATATGATTAAGTTATAATGCGGCTTACTTTAGTCTACCTTATTACTCTTATGCTTTCCATGTCTGTATTTGTGACTACATGTATATATCTTTGTAACGATGACGACACAAACATAAGCATTGTAGCTTGAGTATGTCGTCATCCTGTCTTGTTACTAAATGTTATAATAAATAAAAAAAGTACAGAAGACACGAAACAGGTTTCAAAAGCATAAAACAATAACTAGGTCTGATATTGTGAGGCGATTCTAATCTGGTTGAAGGTCGTAAAAATTATCGATTCTTTGCAATTCCTCCTTACTTTAGACAAATAAACACAGACACTGCACAACAACACGAAAGACAATAAACAGATGGTGAACAACAACCATACGCCTGTACCTCTGTGGTATCTGGTGTGCTTGAGAGGCAGCCCTGTGGTACCCGTTATCGCCGAAACTACAGGCAACGAATGTTAAAAACTCTAAATGCCACATCTCGTGAATTAGTAACATAAGCATGCAACAACAACATGGGAAACGAGCTTTGGTAACGGTATAAACAATGTTATTGACAATGACATTGTGTACGAATCCTGATGATTGTTAGTACACGAAGTTCCACAAATGTTTCTACTTTTAGACTAATAGGTATATTGCTCTAGATTTTCAATCAAGACTGTTCATAAGTATATGATAGGCAAGGAAGTTATAACCATCTTAACTATTTCTGTACCATCTGAATAGCCTGGTAACAGAACACCATTTTTTCAGTTGAAATATTATTGGAACATGTATTGATACCTCACCTTCATCTCTGTGCCCACCGTCTGAAGCACACTTGGCTTTGACAGGCCTGAAGGGGCTCTTCTCCACCAGGTTGCCGAGCATGTTGGTGAAGGTCCGTGTGGTGAGGGAGTACAGGATGGGGTTGATGGCGCTGTTAATCGGCAGGATGAAGATCACGATCCAGGCGTACATGGAACCTGCAGAATGAAATAGAATAAAGAATCGTGTAGGTAAAAATGCAGGTCAACAATGATGCTGCATGCATCATAAGAACGTGAAGGATTTGCATGGCAAAAAGGTGTGGGAGGGTTTAAAAGCAAGCTGCTTTGCAGTCACCAGACGTTTCTGGTGACATCAATTGAATTCGATCCTCGTGTGTACCAACTAACACGCTGGCTGCTTACCTGAAATAGGTGCGTTCGTGAGAGCCAGGAACTTCAGCACAGTGATGGGAATCCAGACCAGGGAGTCCGTCAGCACGATGAAGAAGAACCTCTTGGCAAACGACATGTCGCTGAGGAGAGACAGCGGGGACTTCACCGAGCGCCTTGTGCGATGGATGGAGATGAACATCCCGATGTACGCACACAAGATTATAGTCAAGGAGGTGAAGTTGATCCCGAGAAAGACGAAGGCGCTGTACTCCCAGCCGGCGCCGTACGGCTCGTGCAGGTGCAGCGGGAAGCATACGCCGTTGCTGCCGTAGAAGTTGCCGAAGTACGTAGACGACGTGAAGGGCATTGCCGCGAGTGTCAGCCCGGTGACCCAGATGATGGCGATGACGGTCCCCGCCTGCCGGACGTTGGGGTGGCTCTCCCGGTAGGGGAACACCACGCACAGGAACCTCTCCACGGACATGTAGGTCAGCAGCAGCACCGTCACCTCGGCGGACAGCATGCCGAAGAATCCCGTGATGTGGCAGCTGTAGCTCTGCTTCCATTCCTGCGCGTACTGGTTGTACACGTCGCGGTACACGTGGTCTTTGGACCCGATGATCAAAAGGTATATCCCCATTATTAAATCAGACGCTGAGTGAAATAAAAAAAGAAATATTGTAATTCTTGATTAAAATACCCCAGTTCATACCATGCCGGCCATGTCAGCCTGTTCAGTTTACGAATCAGAAAGCATTATCTGTAATGTATTGTTGTAGTTTGACTCCGTTTTCGAAAGCTCCACCATTATTGTCTAGGCCAAGGATGTCTTGAAATTCTAGTCAACTTTATTTGTCAAAGAACAAAGCTCACCACACAGATTCCTGATGAAGAGAGAGTGAACTTTGTTCTCCTGTTTCATGACCGACCGTCCGATCATCACGCTCGTGTTGCCGAGGCAGATGAGGATGGCGACTACCCAGACTGCCATGCGCAGGATGACGTTAGCCAGCAGGTTCTCAAACGACGAGATGCCGTCCGTGTTGGGTTTGCAGATGCGCACGTGAGGGGCGAACCCGCAGTACCGGAACTGGCTGAAGTAGCTGTGGACCGCGAATCAAGAGAAACTCAAGTCAATGTTTCATCTGATGAGAAGCAGTCACTTTAGTCACCAAATCTAAGGTTTATGCCCTTCAGAACTGTTTTGAACAAGCTTTAGGACGACAGAAAACAGCCCACGGGTCCAGTGTTACCATGCGGAGATCAGTTTAAGAATCTTAATGAGATGATGCTACTCAGACGTGATATTGCATAATATATATATAACTGATTGGAATCTCCCGAACATTGATTTTCTCATGTAATCTTTGATACAAGTGTGACGACCTCAAGGATTATCGACAGATTGCATTGACATCAGAAAACATTTCCTTAGAATATCACTGATCAACACGTAGCAATATCCATCATGGGGCAGCAATTATGGAATGAAAAACGTACATGAAGTTAAGATTCTTCAACTTTCTGAAGAGGCGATAGGAGATGTTGTGGATCGTCAGTCCCCTTAGATCACTGCAAAACACGGGTAATATATGTTATGTCTACTGAACTGGATTAGAAAACACAATCAATGAAAAACGACAAAACAATTGAAGATGCACCTATCAGTAGCCTTCATATTTCACAGAAAGGAACATGGATATAGATGTATGCAATTGATTAATACGCATAGACACCACATTTCAGGTGATGCTAGGTGTCTAGTTTGCTATAGACAAGTCCTTACAGTGACGTCAGGTTTACTAGTCCATCAAACAGATCCAGCTGCAGCCTCTCTATCGGATTCATCGACACGTCCCTGGGTAAAATCAGACGAAGGTCGTAGCCATTATAATACAAATCACATTGATGGTAATCAGAGAGTAGAGTTTGCGTTGATAGTAACAATATCATTTTCAAAGGAAATGTAGGGAATCTGAAGACAGTTAAATAAGTATTCAGTGATACAATACATTCAATTCACAAGCCATAATGTTGAATGCGTATGGATGATGTACTCACAATGACAACAGCACTTGCATGTTTTGAAAGGCAGCATCTGGGAACTCGCTGATCTGGTTCCATGATAAGTCACTGTTGGGGACAAAGGTACAAAAATGTGCTTCTTTTGGATTTTTTTAACTCAAAAGGTTCTTTGTATTCTTCAAAATATTTCTTGCTTGATGAGCCTTGTTATACAAACTATCGTCATCAGTTTAACCGTTTACTTACAGGTCTTCCAGGCCTGATAAAGTATCCAGCACACGTCTGGTGATGCTCGTAATGGAGTTGTTCCTCAACCGGCTGTAACGACAAAACGTTAACCACATCAGGAGGCTGATTAAAGATACGCACTCTAAAAACTAGGCATAGAGAAAGTGTGAGACGCTGACTGCACCCGTAACACGTAGTTATATCTATATAGACTGCAATAATGATAAGCATAAGGAATACCGTTATCATTTTTTTTGCTCGCTATCATTTTTTTTGCTTGCCAAAGCATCCAGTCATAAAGTGAAGACGAATGCGGCCGTCGAATAAACAAGGCACCCATGTTGAGTGGATCATAACACTCATTGACTTCACACAAGCAAAGAAGATCACATCAATGGAGATTTCATGATCAGCTTGCTGAAGAATTTAGAATTGACACTGAAAATGTCACGAAGATGCATGAAAGGCATGCTGCGTTGACCTTGCCAAATTCTGAAAGTTTGTTAGGCAGCATTTCAATGGAAATAGACGAAATGTCGAGCGTAATGGAGTTGACATTTTGAAACATATACTATACCTATCGGAGGGCGTATCCATAACTAGGTCTACAGCAATATCAGACATGTACCATGGAGATAGTGAGGTAGATTCTAATTCCGATTACTAAGCAAATGAATCCTAAACCTACAGTATTTCGAGGTTCGCACAGCCGGCAAACATTTCCGGATAGAGTCGCTCGATCTTGTTTTGGTCCAGCTCCCTGCAATTCAGAGATTTATGTGACGGTATCAAATACTAGTCAAATAAATATTCGTCAACATATCATTATTACTTTTAACATTATGACGACACTAGCTTATATTATGTGCTTATAGTATAAACGTGTTAATTTTAGCTCTAAGCTGAGTTATTGTAAAACTCATATTGAATGAATACGGTACTTACATCCATTGCAGTGACGGCATATCCTCGCAAACCACTTCCCCTCTCAGTTGTGAAATTCTGTTCTGTCTCAGATCGCTGATAAGGCAGAAAATTTAAAAAAACGAATTAGAGATCTACATTTAGGAACATGAGAAGAATCGCAATGATATGTTACCTATAGAACATCATTCACATACGGAAACTTACCAACTTACTATTATTTCGAGGTTTTTTCCCTGCTGTTATCCTTGTTTTATCTCGATTGTATTTTTGGATCCGTGGATTATTTCTCTGTTACCATTACGTTATTACTTTTTGCTTTGTTCATGTCTTGTCTGTACATGTTTTTGTATTTCGAAATACCAATAAAAAAACTTACAGCCAGTACAGACTCTGTAGTCCGATGAAAGTCTGGTGACGTAATGTTGTTATCCTGTTGTTGTCCAAGTACCTGAGTCAAAATATGAGCAAAATATGTTATCGACGTTATGCAGCTGCAGATATATGTGCATTTAGCAAAAATATGAACATCAAACTATTTGTCACAACTCCTAGTTCAAACACATAATTAGCTACTTCTTCACCTATGCATATATGTAGACCACTTGCCATCTTGCTCGTACTTATTTCCTGCTTAGTCAGATGCATCTCACCTTTTGTAACTAATAAACTAGTGAAATTTGTTTCTTGAAAGTATCTAGAAACGAGAGAAACCACAGTAAATATATAAACATTTACAGCCATGTCAGATTCCTCAGATCTTTAAAGGTGAAAGGTTCCAACATCTCCAGGTAGTTGTGATTCAGATACCTGAAACAGAATAACATACAACTCTATCAAAATGGATCAGAAGTGTGTGGTTTGGCTCGACAGAATAGTTACTTTCAACTTAAAGGGTTCACAGATTTACAGGTTCTCCCTATGACCTTTATACGCTACTACAAGGTGAACATAACACGATAACATTGGTGTATTTGAATAGGCTTGCTCTCTTGGGTTTTCTATCTATTCAAAACAAATAAACTCATTAAGATGACAATCTGTAACAGCCACGTCCTGAACTCAGAACGGGTAATTCTATGAGTGGGCGGAAATCACGTACCTAGTATAGAGCTTAAGGACATCATCGTAAAAAACCGTTGTTGAGATTAAGTAACCAAGTTGATTGCTTTTGAAAATCGCTTGGTCAGCTGTAATAGCCAATTACGGTAAGGACCGGAACAGGCGTGATAGGCCTTCAACAGATCCTCGAGATCTGGCGCTTTCTAGTACGCTAACAACGTAGGAGCTGACCATGACTAGCATCCGAATGTCTTCATTCAGATCCTAATCTATCGCTGACTCTTATTCACCACAGAGCTCCTACCGTCAGTCACGTATCCTAATACCAAAATGCCTCATGGCTGTTGTCCAAAAAGGAGTTGGCAAGGGGCATTTTGATCGATTTTAGCAAATATCGTTTGAACATTCTGCTGAAAAGGGTATCATCAACCATTGCCAACAATGGTGTCGTTCTACGGCTTTGTGTTTCTAATTCTTGCGATATAGTGGTAAAGATATACAGATGCGGTCAGTAGCTTGAAAACTGCCAACAAAGCTTTTCATTGTTAGATACGGTAGTCACTGATCTGACGTGATTTTTATTCAAATTGAAAGTTCCAGCCCTACGGCACAGCTAGGTGATTGATTTGAATAGTGCGTTGGCGGTTGTAAGCGTTGATATGACAATCGCTGCAGCTCTCACGTAACTGTAGGATGTTTGGCATTGGTTCAACCTGCCACACGTACAGCGCACAGCGCAATACAACTGTGTGCTATCCGGCCAGTTTCACGGGATTCGACCGGTTTTGATGCCAAGAATAATCCAATGGACGGGTCAATGATCGTGTTATTTAACGGATTGCGATCTCCAGTGATATTTCGAAAACTATGAAACAGCAAACTCGTGCCAAAATACCATAGTGCGGTTGGCTTAGGGACCAATAAAAATCTCATCAGGAAAGGTCAATAGCAAAATACCCTACTCACAGCTTTGTAAGGCTTCGGAGTCCCTTGAAAGCATTTCTCTGTATTACCTGAATGTTGTTTCTTTCGAGGATCCTGAAAATGAAAATAAGGTATGTACAGTACACACGAAACCCTCTACTTAGCGTGTTCTGTAGATTTTCACCAACAGGATATATTAGTACAAGAGGTGCAATTTCTTAACAGAATTCGAATCTACAAAATTAGCGTCAAATTGACAGCATAGATGACTTATTCTACAACCATTCAATCACACCAGAGAACCATTCTATCAGATATGATTGCTAAAGGGTGTTTCCCCTGTGCCCCTATTAATAACTATGAATATATGAAAAAGGAAACATTGTTTCCTCCCAATCAATATAGATGTGCGGAGATACCATTTTGCCAGCTGTCACAGCATAAAAGTCACAATATAACCTCTGCCACACGTCAGTCAATCCAGATGCTATCTCATTCAAGTTCAGTAGAGGTTCACAGGGTCTGACATTGGTATCGATCTGAAGTGTTCAATGTGACGCTTGGCCAGGTAAACCCAAATTGCTGTTCGGTCGATTGCATTATGTATGTTTCCAGGGTCGTGAAACTGTTGATGACCAGAATGTACCTCCGAATGAACCTGAAGAGAGCAACTAGACTGACAAACAATATGATTGTTCTAGCCATTGCTTACTACTTCTGCTATATCTTATGTAGAAGTCAACATAAGATTTACAATGCCAATTAAAGACTTACAGAGATACCAGCTTTGTGTTGTTGACGAAGGATGCGTTCATCACGACAGTTATGTTGTTGTCTTGTACGAACCTGAAACAACAACATATGGACGTCATTTCTACCTCTTGGACTAGATGTAAAGATAGGGATCAATCGTTGCAACTATATCCTGTATATCATACAGAACAATTATTAAGCCAGAAGTGAAATGAGTAATCACAAGTTTTATTGTTGATAGTTTGTTGATTTTAGACATAATTCGTTTTTTTATCCCCTGACCTCAATTCTTAATTCTTAACTTGTAATTGTATGTAATTTGTGCTTTTGTGTATATCTGTTTTATGTACGTATTGCATCGTCTTGTCTAATGAGCCCTGGAAGATTAGACCCTCATGGGCCTAAGGGCATCTAATAAACCAAACCAAATAATCGATTCTCCATTAGTAATTACACATGGGAATGCATTAGTGTACACTGTTGAACTATATGCTGGTTGATTGAGCAGGTTGACGTACAGTTTAGTTGTGTTGATGGGGATGTCAGTCGGTACAGTGTGTAGTCCCTTCCCGTCACAGTACACCCTGGTCTCGTGAGTACAGTTACACGGGGCCGGCACGTCGGGTAGAACTGAGTGGTATAAAAACACACACCCATCGGGTACAACAGCCATATCATAAAATCCTACACTAATGTAGGAGGTGGAAGATTAAGAACAGTTGTCATCAGGTAAACATGGGATATCCAACACAGGATGACTTAGTTTGAACTTACTGCATACGTCGGGTCTTGGCGGTTCATGTTTAGATACTTGTACGGTCTTGTCGAAATTATGTCCCCAACCTCCTACGTCCCCTGTGGAAAAAAAGGCATATTAGTGCACATAAACCTTCTCAATACTTAAACCTTCTCAATACTGGGATTAAAACACTTCATATGTATTGTAGTGCACAAGTTGTGCTCAGCGGAGTAGACAATATTGATTGCATCCCAAAGAGTATAAGTGTAACAGACTCTGAATTTGATGATGAGAGCAACAATTGTAAGTTATTTAGCAAGATGTTCCATACAACTTTGCTATATTACTTACCTTATCTATACCACGTGAAAGTGTACCTGAAAAATAGTCTTAAGTAGGTTCACATCCATTACACGCTTATCTCTGCTGTGCTTACGCGGGTAATGCCGTGTTCATGTTCCGATAACATCTGTAAGACATTAGCTATCGTATGCAAGTGGGACCCTGATTTCTCATGGTCATAAGCGATGCCCATAAAAACAAACTTTGTTTCTCGCAGCGTTAGAAATACATTTGGGCAACTAAACCCGAAGCCTAGGTTGGCCGTCAGCAATACAAAGAGAAAAATAGTGGTGACATAAAAGTTCTTGCAACTACGGTTTTTAATGGAAATCAGTCTTACCACAGTGTTTTTCGTCCTCCCCATTTTCACAGTCCTCCTTATCGTTACATTGTTTGCTCTGCTCCAGACACACGGAGGAGTTTCCGCACCGGAATTCCCCAAGAGGGCAAGAAAACTCCGGGGGCAGGAGCGGTTTTGCCGACAATGTGGTTTCATTCAAACCTGAAAAATACATTGTGTTGTGTTTTGTTACAATATCCAAGCTGCAAGCATCGTTCTCACAGTGTTCTATCTGAAAATTACCCTCGCCAACATTTGCAAGGATAAACTTTGTCTTGTTAAAATAGTGTATAACAAGCTTTTACGTATCAATAAGCAATGATTTGCATCTTTATCCTAGTAGGATCAAAATACATCTTCAACTCGCTAAGAGAAAGAAAATATAATTTTCCGCCAAAAAGCAGCGAAGTTCTTTGGCGCCCCACAACTTTCTTTAGTAGTCCTGCTGGCGGCTTGCCCTAATGCGATAATGTCGGCGCCGCGTTGGCCCAGCGGAACAACGCTTTTTCAAACGTTCAGCCTAAGAGGTCTGTAACACATCCTAGCCGCAGCTAATACTGAGACTTAACTGAATAAAGCTCTCAGACCTACGTGTATTGCTTTACACCCTGCCTTTGTTAGTAAATACGTTGAGTTGGGATGGTGGGTATGTTCTTGTCACTTTCGTAATTGTGACACAATAGTGGAAAGGCTGAGAATACAAACCAAACTGGACTTTTGTAAATTGACTTAGAATGCTGAAGTGTTCCATTTCAGCTTATTTTGGGTATGTTACTGGATCTCTATTAAGGTTTAAGTACCTCGGTATGCAGTACACCTATGCAGCTGATATTGTTCAAACGTTCTTGGATGGAATAAACCGTCGAACACAAACCACATTTTATGACACATAGGCACTTTAATGTTACTTTAAATGTTTGAAGACAGCCACGTAGATTCAGTCGTTTTAATCCGTTAATAGCAAGCTGACATTTAAAGTTGTCATGTAGAGAACGATAACACCAGAGGTCCATTCATACACACACAAAGGTCCATTAGGCAGGACAATCATTTGACTTCGTGTGTCCCGTTGGAAATGACTGCCCACACTTTGGAATCCACTGAGAACATGAAAGCTCTCAGACATAATAATAAGAGTTTGTAACGTCTCCCCAGTCAACAGTTTTCCAAACAGTCCTCTGATGTTTGGTTCCCTCTGAATAAGCAACAGTCTAGTGGGAGAGGGAAATAGTACGCTATAGTTGTCGGAGCCGGCCTGCCGACTGCACCAAATCTACAAAGGAATTTTCAATCAACAAACTGCCGAACTGGAAATGAACAGTGCCACTCAAAAGACGTCAGGTTCAAGGCAACGCCGCGTGGTGCAGAGAGCAATATCTTCATCACGAATGCGCGTGGCAATGACTTTGAACAGTTCTGCTATAAAGTACGGAGCGTGAATCCCACTTCCCTTTGCGAGCTAATTGATGGTGCCATTAGCTTTCGGTAAAGTACCGTGAAATATTGATGTACACCCTTGTAAGCAAGCTATCAGCCGATGTCTGGCAGCTTTGGCAAAGAATCTGACCAATTACTGTTGTCACAGGAGTATCATAAGCGCTGATGCTCAGACATCATCGATTGGCGGCAGGATGCCAGTCGGTGGAACTACTGTGCAATCTCTATCTCTATCTCTTTCTGAAAGAAACGTTACTTTTAAAATGTACTGACAAACTGACGAAATGGTTCAAGCAGTATCAAATTGAACTTTTCAACTCAGAATTCCTTCAAACTGGAGCCATCAATAGTCGATGATACAGGACTTATTTGAAGGTTTATTCATTTTATTTATTTTCCGTCATTTTTATACAGGGTAACCCAATTCAGTGATGGCACTGCTTTTCAACGGGGCCCTGTATTACACAGCACAGTACAACAATCACATACAAATAATAACATTAGCATACAAAAATTATACAATAAATAATTATAATGTCAATGATAATAACGAAAACAATAAATGAATTATAATGGCAATGATAATAACGAAAACACAGTAATTAATCAATAACAGTAATAAATAGTAATAATAACAAAAATACATCATTGTCCAGTCCAGTCATTGTCATTGTCCAGTCCAATATGTTGGCATGGAGGGGTCAGAGGTCAGGCCAATTCTTACATTTCATTTTAAAAAAGGTCAATCCGTTTTGCCAATTCCTGTGCAATAAATCGTTGCTAAACGTCCAATTAAACTGTTTCACTTGTCAGATGTACAGACAAGTAATTTCAGCAGACCTTCACTGTAGCGCCAGTTGTAAAAAAAATACTACTGTTTTTCAATAGCAACGGAACCATAAAAAACGTAAGGGGCAGGATACATCGGCGTCTACAGTGGTCCACTCTCTTGCCTTACCATTATAGAGATGGTATTTCGACCCAACTCTTCTGCATTATTTATAAACAATCTTCATTCAAGAAGAAAGTGAAACTGAAGTTGAAGAGGACGGACAGATTGTTGTGTGAAATAGAGTCGCCTTACGGAGCAGAAAACTAATTCCGAGCATGGCTGCATTCCTCTGTCTCAATCAATAAAAATCAACCGGTGTACAACTATGAATAGTAATGGCAAAACAGACGCTTTAAATATGGTTAAATACCATCGCTGTCTCCGCGTACATCCCTGACCATCTATATCAGAACATCAAAATTATGTAATATTTAGTTCTTGTTACGTTGCCAAGTCATATACCTACCAAACGACTTATCGTATATTAGCTTGCCAGAAAATGAAACCATTTTATCTTACGGCCATTTGGCATTTTACAGCTTTTACTGTGTTGATACTTTCTTCGTTCCTCGTTTAAAGAAGTCCATCAAAGGGAACTGCACTGCGTTTTGAAATGGCAGCTTTATTGGGGCTCAATTTTCACGAGCCTTGGACATTTGAAATATTACTGAGCTCAACGGCTCAGGAAATGTTGAATATTATCTTCTGTAGAGACAGATCTGATTCAGACCGATTGGCATGATGACGTATTTCTATAGAGTTTTACGTAATAAACTTTGTACAAAATTTGGCTAGATGCAATCTGGTAGATGGACATTTTTCATCCATTGACGACTAAACACCAAAAGGTCGTGATCTTCCCCCATTTAAAGGCCCATCGGGGGAATATTTGACGTTCAGGCGACGCCATAGCTTACCTTTATAGGGAATGAATACTGTGTAACGATGTCAACGTTAAGTTCAATTTCCGTTCATTCCATTGCTGAAAGGCTAAATGAAGATTGCTTATAGATCTTACAAGAAAACGACATTAAAACTGGTTGATACGACTCTTTCAAACATCAGCAAAGTGCTTTATACATACACTGAATAGACAAAGGGTCACTTACCTGCAGTCTGTGACGTCATAAATACGGTGTACAGTACAAATGCTAGTGTTCCGGTCAAGTCCATCATTACTTGTACCGTTGTGGACTGCACTTCTCTCTGTTAAGACTGTTCAGTACAGGTCACCTGCAAGACAAAGAAACCCTCCTATTGCTATGTATCAGGTTGTGGAGGCGGTTGTTATTATATAACGCTTAAAAGTGTTGTAAGCCTTAATTAGATTACGACAGGTTTGTAGTAAAATCTCTAGAACTGTCTGATACTTGTACGTATACCATGCCCTGCCGACAGAAGAAAGGCAGGTTTATGAGCACGAACTATTCACATAATCCGTTTTACTCATACACCCTTCCCACGTCCTAACAAGGTTTCTTGTGTCCATCTTATCCACGGGGAAAGAATGCCTTGTTGCTCCAAACCATCGCGGCCTCTGCAATAGCTTACCATCCGATCGGAGATGGACCTGCACTACATCATTTTTCCCAGAACGTTAAACTTTACCAGCACCGAACCGACTTCTGCAATATGACTACTGTACATTATCGAAACCTGGAGGACAATGTATCCCTAGCATAGTGAAGTATGACCAAAACTTTGCCATGCTGAATGAAATTAATCACCTGATGATTTAACGGTTATTACCTAGCTTGAGGCGGTATGAACTGCCATCATTGCTTTGTCAGAAGACGACAAATTATGTCACCTGCAAACTCACTTGGAATACCTAAATACAAGTGTACGTACTCGTACATCAGCATGGACCAATAACAGGATCATCACTTTATACTAGCGACAAGACGTTGAGCTTGCCAAATTCCTCAAAAATGTTCCTCAAAAATCATATTTCGTCGACATAGCTTGAGCCTTTCCATTTCCAAATTTCAACATGTATGCAGGAATTGTTTTAATTATACCGTAAAGATTAAATGTCTTTCAATTGCAACGACCGTGATAGCAATATATCACTATTATGTTTCTCATTCAACAATATATCCAGTAATCAAGCAATGTTATTCCTATTAAGACAAGTTATCTATGCAGGCAGTGGCGCCACGGTTCATTATGTTGTTATAGATAAACCCTATTATTCATCAAGCACGATTCAACTAAGCACTTCATTTCTACGGGCAGAGAGATTTAAATTAAAAAGTACATGTATATTGTCAATTACCAGGGGGTTAGTTTTGTATTTGTTCCTATGACACGTTGTAGTGAGCGATAGCAAAGCTGAAGGATGCCAGCTAGACTGACATTTTCATTAGCTTGAGATTTCATATCTAACTTACGTTATTAAGTGGTAAGCACAGAACGATATATTCAACTACCTGTTCAGAATTGATAATGTTCGCTCTGCAACTTTGGTACAATGGAAGTAAGCACAAATTGTACAATGTCGATCAATAGATTCATTCAGGCAAAGAACACGGGGCCTAGGGGCAAGCTACCGGGGCACAATTAGGAAAGCTTCAGACGATATAATGATAAAAGGAAATTACCTCGCCACGCGAAACTCTAACCTTACGGAGCAGTGTTATTGAGAAATCGTAATTAGGCTTTGAAGGGGATTCAACCGTATTCCAGAATGTTTGACCAACTTTTAATAATCTACCGATACTTCGACGAAGCCCTGGCCTCAAGTCAAGTAAGAAATTCTTCCCGAGCGCCACTTGCTTTGATGAATTCAAGTCACTGCACGTTCTTTGAAACGAAATCAATCAAGAAGACGGTATGGACGTATTTCAGGATTAGAGAAGACGTTGGTTTGAAAAGATGTAATCTTTTGTTGCATTCAAATTCGCTCTTATCGTCTAATGCAGCTTACATGGGCGTACTCTCTGATTTGTAATTAGAGCACACTATAAAAAATGGGATAAATGTATGACAAAGTGTAAGTGGGTTTCATTCAAACTGATAGTTACATGACCAATACTGTGACTGATGCAGTTTGTAACTGATTGGGATGATGTGAGAGCAGTATTTTTCTACTTTGGTAGAAAACAGAACCGGGAGACACTTTTTGAGCCCAGTTTCTCCACATCTATTTCCCTCGACATCTAAAAGAAAATTGATTAATCTACCAACATTAAAATGCGCAAGTACATCGCTCATTTGAAAACAATTTTAACTTCAAAGAAGCCCCTACGACGGGTGTTTCTACATTCACAGAAACATACCGACGTGCGCCCGCGACGGGTTAATTACCCTGCCGATAGTTCTTCAAAGGTAATTTTGTATTTTCACGGCTTTGATGAAGATATGTAAATGCGACACTGTTACTTAAGAAGCAGGAAGCCCCTCAACCCATCCTGAGGTCAGGTGAAGATGTCAACACGCCTCAGCGTCAGCTGATGATTGTCGCATTTTAGATGCGTTTATCATCACCCGTAGGTTATGAATATAATACAGACATGTCCCTAGATACACATATTTAATATGTTAGACTTACACCTCTATAATAAAGATGGCTGACAGGATAGGTTGTAGGAGTGCAGCGTTTGCCAGAAGTTGACTGGCTGACCGCCAATTTGATAGCAACAGTCTGTCGATAGTCAATTTTTCCCCCGTGTGAAAGAAAGATTCCTTCAGACCCTCGGCAGACTTGGTAAAAACTTGGCAAAATTAGGATGCGACGAAGATGTATTTTTGTGTGTCTTACTCGTAACACCCACCGAGGATGTCTAACACTTGCCTCTCGACACCTATTTCTCATCCTACATAACATGCCATGGTTGATCCCCTAGTAAGAACATAATCTACGGAACGTTGTCTGTGTATGCTTTTCAAGCACAGGTTTAGGCGTTGGCTTAGTTTCTTCGCGTTTTTCTTTTTTGCACCGGTATCTTTTCTTCCTGAGATGGCGTATTGGATACTGTCTTGCCAATTTGATGCTGCCTTGCAGCCATCAAAAGATCTGCTTGGAGATGAGTCCCGGTGAGGAGTATTCCATCGTACTTTTATATGGATTTGCACCGCACTCTTCTCTTCCACCTCGCTCGTGATTCTCTATCCCCGCTCTCTCTACATCTATCCTCCTATCCCTATCCGTGTTAACCAATCAGCTTATACATGCATAGGTTATCAAAAATACTGCGCCTTTGGTATCACACGTAAGGAATTCTATCAAATTTAAAGGTCTCGAGTTACACATTTTACAGAAGAGTAAAGGCAAGGGATCTACGTCTAAAGCAAAGAAAAAACAAGTGGAGATTAAAGTTGGGCAGTGATTGTGTACAAGTTACAACTCCCTCAGGATACAGTACGATAATCAATGCGGAAACAGCCAGCTGGGGGCTCAGCAATCGTACATCGTTGCCGTTATTAAAGCCGAAAGGAAACCTCCAGGCGTGAAGCCAGCCCGGGAGAGACGTTAACTTGACAGCCGCGGGTGTTAACAGCGCTCCGAGATGCCATCCATCACTATATAGAGCCGTAGAGTACAAGATTTACAGCACAGATCCTGACGAGTGGATACATAGAAACTAGGACTTTGCAGAAAATGGTTGAAAATTTTCTTCATTGTACACGCGACTAAAGGAGGTGTTATTTTCAGTTACAGCAAGGACATTATTTCTGAATAATGTCTCCATATAATGCCATTGCGTCGAGCAATGGGTGAATTGCTTCTTAAATTCTGCAACAAAGAAACGTTTTAAACTACAGACAGCGTCCAGCATAAATAGATTGATATTGGCCGAAAAAAATGAAAAACTGTTTCATGTTTACAAAAAGTAATAGAATACTAAGAAGTTGTAATATAATGTGCTACAGCTGCCAGTGAGGTCAACTCAGTCAACCAAACAAGGGTACAAAAGTTGTGTTCATAATTCATCAATCCCTCATTGTGCAAAACTGAAGCTCTATAGTCTTTCCGAAAACAGATTCTTTACTCTCTGTCTTAAACCCACCTTGTCTCCCTGATCAGATATCTGCAGTTAAAACAAGCTCTAAATCTTACCCCGATTATCGGTTGTTTAACCAGTCCGTTTAAAATTCTGTACACAGTCTCTGAAGACCCCAGAAGACCATGCGTAGGTCTGCTGAAAGGCCGCAATTAAGTTGATGGCCGATTCAGCTCGAGGCCTCCCTAAACACCGTGAATAGCTTCGTTAAGATTCGACAGAACGGAACTCCGGGCAGATGTTATCTCTCCACAGTCAGTGCGAGATGCCCCTTGAGCTACAAGTTAGGTGAGACGTGTTGACAATAGATCACACGATCTCGGCATGCCGACGTGCGTCTGCCATGTCGACAAGTTGTTACCAATCGTTTCTAGCATTAACCAACCATTGAAAAAAATACATATTTGCCAAACAGGCGGGCACCCAAGAATCATGACGATAAAAAAGGCCAAGACAGAGAAATTCATAGCTGCAAAAGTACACGATTAGACCAAGGCGTACGCGTGTTCATAAAAAATGGTGATAAGCATTCGTTCATTCGGTTTTTTTTTTTCTGCCTATCCTGGTCATCAGCTAACAAGGCTAACGAAGAAACGTACGAAGATTTAGATCTCGTTTCGAATCCGCGGAACCTTTTCTGATGTCCAACATTGTATCGTGCAGAAAGAGTCAGGTCAAATCATTTACGCTAATAGTTTTGTTGCAGACGATACCTTCTATCTGGTTTGACAATGCTCAACGTTAGACAGCCTTGTTCTATAATTCTAACACAAAATGTGGGGCGTATACCACAGTCATAAATCGCTCTATAAGTATACTTTACGTGGGCGTATGCGAAGTTATTCATCCCTCTACTTGGCTGGTGTAAAGAGACTTATCGGAGTATGGAAGGTGCAGCGGTAGACACAGCACTACTCTTCGGATTTACCAAATACAGTAATCTCCGCTCGCGTCTTGTGGACGGATTGTACCAGGAGATTGTGACCCGTACAGGTTTTATAAGCAAGAAACGTGAATAAAGTAGGAGTTTATGGTCCCTCAGTAGACATGTAATCGTACGCAGAAGTGTATGCTGATCCTACAGATAAAAATCGCGTACTATGGTGCTTTTCTCAACAATTCCCAACCAGCCACCACAGCTAGATTCTAGCTTCCCACATGTCAAAATGTCACCTCTTTTATGTTCCATAAAACGTAGAGCCGCGTTTTACACCAGGATCGTAGGAG